CCTTTCTCACAGGTCACTCGCTCTCTCAGGTGAGCCTTTCTCACAGGTGACTTACTCTCTTGGGTGTGTTAGCGTGACACAGGTAGCTCCTTCTCAGACCTCACCTGTTGTTTAAATTGCTCCCTCACCTGGCTGTCCTGACATGGTCCTGTATGGTCCAGGAGGTCGCTGGCTGGCAGGAGTCTTAAGATACAGGGCACAGTCTCAGTCTCTTACCCTGTGTCAGTGCTGCCCAGCAGTGCAAGCGTGCAGCAGAACACCAGACTGCGCCCTTCTGCTATGCAGTTGTGATTGTGTGTTACAGTGATTTGTGTTGTTGTGTCACTGTGTGCTGTTGTGTATTTGTGTGATGTTGTATAACTGTGTGTTGCTGTGTGTCCTGACAGAGGCTGGTGGTCCAGGCAGCATCTCCAGGGACGAAGGGGGGGACAGTGTCTGCAGTGTCCGTTCTGTCTGTCCACCCTGTCCAGCCACAGGGTCACTCCCCCCCTGAGGTAGCCCCCAGCCCTGGTCACTCGCACCCTGTTGTGTTTCATGACTGAGAATTTGTCTGTCCAGCAGTGTCTGTATGTCTGCTGATGATTGTTGTATGCGTTTCTGTATCTGTCGTGGTCAGCTGGTGTATCTGTAGTGGTCAGTATACGATGTGTTTTCTGTACCAGTCAGCATGTGTATCTGTAGTGGTCAGTGCACGTTGTGTTTCTGTCAATGTACTAGTACTTGCCAGTGTGTGGATCTGTAGTGGTCAGTGTGTTGTGTTTCTGTACTTGTCAATGTACCAGTACCGGTCAGTGTGGTTATTTAAGTGTGTTTCTGTGTGTCTGGACCACATTATGTCAGTGTTAAAAGTTACTGTCTGGTATTTTATGAAAGGAGGTCTCTGCTTTCTAGCCAGTCAGTTGGTCAGCAGTTGAAGAATCTTGTTTCTGAACCAAAGTCCACCTCTGGTTTCCTGCACTAGTTGTGATGCAGATGCAGGTGTTATTACACTGGCCCAAATCGGGTTGTATTTAAACATTTGAGACTGACCATTTCAACCTGGAGAAGGGTTTCCATCCTTTCTGGCTGAAGGACCCCTTTTCCACCAGGATAATAAGGATCCTAATTGAAGCCTACAGTAAAATTGAAGGATTCTTATTAAATAATGCTGCTATTCAATGAGCAATTAAAAGCAGGATAGATCTGCTGTGTAGGAGTCTTGATAGTACACTATACTGGACTGGGGATGAAAGGTGTCCCTTTATTTCTGGACAGTTTGTGTGGGTCTTGTGGTGGAAGACCCTAACCTAGGTAATGTGTGATGTGCTTATAAAACACACACAGATGCCAGGCCTTAGCTACTGTAACCTGGGGTGCTTCGAGTACAGGATACAGAGAAGGAAAGAGTGTGACTGCAGACTGGACTGTGTGCTGGACTATGCCTACACTCCCCAATGTCATTGCTCTGTCTCTCCAGCAGAGGTCAGTAGTGCAGGCAGCGCCCCAGACGGCCAAGACAGGACAGAGTGCCCAGTTGAGTGTTACAAACCTGCAGCAAGTACATCTGACCCAAGAGGTGAGCTGTAATGAAACATGGAGATTTACAGAGAAAATCTGAGATACTGAGAGACACTTTCAAACAAAGATAAACAGAGAGATATACTGAGACACTGGTGCACAGACAGTGAGACACTGAAAGATATTGAGAGACACTGTCACACTACAAGAGACACCAAACTGCCACAAAGACACCTTCATACTGAATGATAAACACTTCTATTAAGGTTCATAAAATATTACGGCAGTAGTGCTGGTATTTTTTGTTGGTGTTAGTGGCATTCGTGCTGATTGTTGTATCAATGGGAGTATTGATACCGGTTCAGTGTTAACCTTAGAAAATTCCACTCGGGGCTTGAACTAAAGTTTCCCCTTAATTCAACTGGAGAAACAGTTTCTCTCTCCTCCCCTGACCTGTGAGCAGTGGTGCAGCACTTCAATGGGGATGAAGTGGGTCTTCTCCTGAATGTAGGATTATGGGATTTATGGAATGAAAAGCCTTCTTTAAATGCATTATTTATTATTACTGGTGTTGGGATTAAAGTTAGTATTGTTTCTTAGTTGATTGCCCTCTCCGTGCAGAGTCCAGGAAGCAGAGGTGTTGAGGCAGGGAGGCAGAGAGAGACAGAGAGAGAGAGGGGAGCCTTGCAGTGGGGGTCAGTCAAGCAGATAGACTCTGAGACAGATGGACAGCCTCCCTCCCGCTCCCCCTCGCCCCACTGCAGCCCGGGCTACGACAGGAACTACAGCTCCCTGTGCCCTGCCTTTCACCCCTCGCTCCCTTTCTCCTTCCCTTTCTCCCTCCCTCTCCATTTCCCCCTCTCCCTTCCTCTGCTGCCCCCTACTGGCACCCCAGTCACAGTGCAGCCCCTGCCCCAGCTACTGCTCTACGAGACAGCGGGGGCAACAGCCTTGAGAGTAGGTCCCTGAGAGAGAGGGATGGGGAGTGGGAGAGTGTAAGAGAGGTAGGAGATGTCAATGGAGAGAGAGAAAACCAGGCCTCTGCATGTGTGAATTAAGAACAGACAGACGAGAGGAGTCATTCAGTCCATCTCGCGCTTTTGGTAGTCAGTAGCTAGTTCATCTTATCCAATCATTCTTGAAGGAAGCCAAGATTACTGGCATTTAGCAACATGGCTGGGTAGCTTCTTCCAGACATACAGCACCCATAAAGATTTGTATAAAACACTTTAAATTCCCCCTCAGTCTCCCTTTAAGTCTCACACAGAGCAGCTGAACACACTGGAGTCAACAGTCTAGAGAAGAGCAGAGGATCCTAACACTGAGGTTATTCAATAATTAAAGTTGTTAAGGGTCTGCTATTTAATTGTTATATAACAAAATCAACTGTCTGAAATGGATTGGAATGTGTGATATTTCACTATCCATGGTACAATACAATAATCCAGCATGGATTATTGTTAATATTCCTGTTTGTGTGTGCATTGTATGTTAACCCCATGTGTATGTGTACAGTACACTAACCCTGTGTGTATGTACTGTATGTGTACAGCACACTGGCGCAGTGTGTGTGAATGTGTATAGTACACTAACCCAGTGTGTGTGTATGTGCACCAGGTGCAGCAGCTCCAGCAGGTCCCAGTACAGCACGTCTACTCCAGTCAGGTCCAATATGTAGAAGGAGGCGATGCAGGTTACACCACCAGCACAATGTGAGTCTGACTGCCTGTCCATCTCTCCTTCAGTTCTGATGTTAAGGCAGTGTTAATGTACTGTAGTGTCCAGTCAGTGTGTCTGTAT